AAGTTCCTGAGATCAAGCTATGATCCACCATAGCAATGTGAACGTGGTACCACTGCCACTTTTGCCTGCATATGGTGCACAACAAATAGTGTGGCAGTGGTGTGGCATAAAATAGCTGTGAGAGGTTGCACACAAACATTGCATGTGTTTCTCAGTCACACTGCCAGCTCTGGGAGCAACAATCCCATAAGAGGGACTGCCTGTCTACTGCCCTCTCCCTTCAGCTGATCTGTACATGCAGCTCCTGCTGCCTGGAGACATATCTGCTGCCTCCAATGGACTCCTACAGAGTACAATCATCAAACGTCTGGCCAACCTGCCTATTAGTAATTCCCCAGGAGTCTTCTCCAGCACCTTACTCTCTTCTCTCCACAAGCTATTTCTCACTCCTGCTTCCCATCCCCACTCCTTTTTTCCTCATCTCAGAGCAATAGACCCCCCCAGCTTACACGTATATATCTGCTCATAGTCCAGCCATGTAATTGCAGCCAACCCCTCAGATATCTTTCACATGAGCAAGCAACAGGGTTGCCATGCCCTAGGTGTGCTACTTCAGTGGTCCGGCAGCCCAGTTTTGCTATGGTGCTACAAGGACACAGACAGAGAATATTAACAGGAGTTCCTAACTATTCCTGAATTGCTTTCATGATTATGAGCTACTGGACTGTAGCTAGCTGGCCATGCTGGGGTACTTTTATACAGGATATTGATTAGCTGGATCTGAAAATCCAGATATTCTTTTTGGAACATATGTCTTTACTATAAAAAATGCCCCACGTCCCTCAAAATCATCCTCACTAGAATCTTTTACTCCCCACTAACAGCCTAGCCATGAAGCATGTTCCACAGAACGATCTGATGATTGCTCCCCTAGCTGAGCTCTCATTCCTTTAGGTAGCCTTGCTTATTTTGTTAGCATTGTTGGTATGCATCAGAGTGCTCTTCACTCCTCAGCTTCTACAAGGCAGAAGTGTAGATGAGGCCACAAGGGTGACCATAGATTGCTCTCAGTGCCACCTTATCTTTCAACACACCTTCTCCTGGCTCCTCTTTGCTTCTGTGTTTATCTGCCATGCTCACATGCAGTACCCTGAAATTCATTAACTTCAGTGCCTGGTCTCTCCTGCATATTCTTCTCCGTCCCCCCCTTATTCCAAAGCAGACAGTTAATACTGTTTAGTGCTTTTCTTTAAGAGATGACATTTACTGCACTCACTTCATACTGAAGCATACTGCATACGGAATTGAGCCACTAAAAGTTCCATGCATAGTTTAATGTTTGGTTTTGCGGTGACTGAAAATAGAGTTTCGTGCTGTTTGCTGCTCACTCAAACTTACTTTGGTGCTCAAGTCAGTGTGCATGGCAAAGCACTGAAAAGCATACCAAAGGCACAGGTGGGAATGCCAAAAGGGAATCAGCAAGCATGCAAGCCCCTTAGAATCAGCAGCTATAGCTAAGAGACAATGGACAACAGCAAGGCCAATGTGCTTCTTCCCCCTTCCCATATCTACGAAGTCACCTCCCAGAGAAGAAAACCATGAGAGCACAAGGTGGAAAAGGCACATGGCTCAACATGTCAGAAATTCTGGCAAAAGATGTGCAGCAGTGAACTTGGTTCTTAAGCATTCTCCTTGCATAACCACAGCAGCCTCAGAGGCTTTATTGGGAACTTCACAGCATCTTCTTCCTCCCTCACAGAGCTGTCTCAGCAAGCCAACATCCCTCCTCCCTCCCACCCACATGCAGCTAGGTGGGATGGGATGGGATGCTGACTCGAGTGCTGAACTCTGGACACTAACCCAGACACACAGGGTCATTCCCTTGGCTCTTCAGGAAGGGCAGATGGGTGGTGTTTCCCTCAGGTATCCTGTGATGGTGTCATGCACTCCTGGCATAGGACTCAACCCCTTGGCCCATAAGCAGCAGTGGAAGGACCTTCTCACGCTATGCCAAGAGACCAGTGCATCTCTGCTATCAGCCCCGAGGTTCCCTGACCCCATGGCAAGAGGTCTCAGCTCTGGCATCACTGTGCCATCTTCCTCTTTCCATGGTCACTCTTTGGAGCCCACAACTCCAGCTTGGATCTTTATCGCTGTGTTCTTGAAGTGGCATGTGGCTCTGAGCACTCCTTATGAGCCCTTCAGTAACTCACATGCTGGGTTGATCACATAACCTCTGGCTCTGCACCCTCTGCAAGCCCCAGCAGACCTGAGCACACAATGCAAAGCAAGCAGAGATCCCACAGCACTCCTGACAGTAGTGACAAACATCACATGTCCACTGGTAACAGATATTGATGGAAAAATACCTTCTTCATCTTGTGTCAGCTGGCTCCTCCAGCTATCAACCAAAGAGGAAAAACAAGACAGCTGCAGTGTGATTGTTCATTGAATCCACTGTCTTTTGGCAATGAAGAATCAATATAACTCTTAAACTAACATTTGTTAGTGAAAATAGTGAAACTAGTGAAATAGCACTGTTAGCACAGATGCACCCTTGGGCTGCCTTTAGTCATGACTTTAAAAACCCCTCAGATTTCCTTCAGTAAAAAGTATAGTCAGATGCTCAGGATCTGCTCACTCTAGGAAATGCTCCTAACGGAGTCAGCACTGCACATATTTTGTATCTGCAAGGAGAGCACATACCCTGGGGATATGATTCCCTGAGCTGGAGTGTGTTTCTGATGTGCAGCTGTGTTCTGACAAGTAGTCATGTGAAAATAACACTGAAGTGTCATACTCATTTCCTCTCAGTCTAGGCAAGGTCAAATACATCCAGTTTACAGCAAAACACAATGCTTCTTATTTCCACCTTTATTTCTCTCTAAAGCCAAAATAAATGCTAGCATTGTTCTGCCCCTAAAATCAGTACCACCAACAATAACACTGATTTTATAGCATGTGATTCTGCTCACGGTTTTGCTAATGAAACCTGTGACATAAACAGAAATCAGCTCAGTGTCTTGGAGTTCAGTTCTGCAGGGTTAAGAGCCTGGCTTTTTTTTCCAAAATGAATATTATCTGAAGACACATAGTACACCGATTTGCTGACTGTGCCACTTATAGCATTTTTCTGATGACAGCTGCTGTTACCAGCTTGTCACGGTCACACAGACTTTGCAACATGGTATGTGAATCCAGCTAAAAAATCAAGTCAGTTACACAGGGATACAGTACAGATTTTTGCTGATTCTTGGAAAGGAAACAAATGTTGATCAAAGAGTTCTGGCACGCTGCATCATGTCAGCTTATATTGAAATTGTCAGAGGCCAATATTTTCCACTAACACGCTGTAGTGGAAATGCTAAAGTCATGGCTTGAAACAGTGATTGAGCACCTGGTGGGAAGGCAGGGCCAACCCAGGGGAGCTCAGGTGCACATAATGCAGCTGAGTGACTGGAAGGGGTAGAGCCAGGATCCACCCCTTCCCAGACCTCATTTAAGGGTTAGCAGCGGGGGCAGGGGCACTTCAGTGGAGATCCCTGCCTACTGGAGGTTTTCTAAAGGTAAGAAGTTTTTCTTCCTTCGTTTCTGTGTCCAGGTTGTTCTTTTTGGGCTTGTTCTGATTTGCTGTAGCTTAGGATTGTGCTACTCTGTGACTACTGCTGTACTTTCCATCACACTATAGCATTACCCATGCACTCAGCAGTATGCATACTGAAGGCACCAAAATAGAAGGGAGGCTTCAGCAACAGTTAAACATATGTTTGTGTTTTTCTGGCAGCTCAGACTGAGGAAGTGAAATAAGGAAGTAAGCCTGTGGCTTTAAAAATCTTTGGCTACTGCCTGTGCATAGGCAGGCTATTATTCTGAATGGAATTTTTTTTTTAAAGTCTACAGTATTGTCTTCTCCAATGTTTATTTCTAGTTTAAAAAAGCATGGTAAAAAAAAATCTGTGAAAAAACTTTTCTATTCTTTTTCTTCTCATTGTCTTTAGAAAAGCAGTAGTTTATAGCAGGTATCCTGTTCTTCTGTGAAGCCTGTAGAGGGAGCCAAAGCTTAAAAAAACTCAAAGACTCAAAGCTAAGAGCACAAGAGACAGAGCAACCTGAACACTTCTTTCAAACTGGTAGAAAGTAATCTAAGCAAAATTTTGTGATAATAGCAAGACTAACAACAGAAAGAATATTGATAATACCTATAAAAGCAGCTGATAAAGTCTCTTTAACTAATGTAACTACTTAGAAGACATTCACAGTGATAAGTGAACTAAAAAGATTAGGATCAAAATAACTGATTCACCCCAGGATATCCTGAAAAGTAAGCTTGTTTCTGTTGGGAGATGACAGTGCAGCTGAAGAAAAAAAAAAGGAAAACCTCCTAAGGAGAAGCTAAAGCTTGCTCTCATTCTTCATGACCAGGTAACTTGGACTGCTCTTGAAGAGCAAACCAAAGACTGCATTGCTGGGCTATGTGTGTCCTGGCTCTGCCTCATGTAGTCCTGGCACTACCAAAACTATTGCTTTCATAGTGATTTCAGTGTGCACTCCAGCATGGTTGTACTCATGAATGTAAAAGAAAATACTCATACCACATACTATAAAAACACTAGTGGCTTGTTGGATGTCGTGACTAATCAAAACAAACCCTGCATAATTATGTATAAACTGAGTGCAGCTCCAAAGGATCAAACTAAACCGATCCTCAAATCACTTACAGATAAGCCTATAAACTCAGATCTGGGGTTTGAGTCAATTGTACTTGAAAAAGATCAGGACGTCCTAATTCAAATAGGACCATTTCCAAGCCCTGATGAGCTCTTGTTATGGTCTAGGCCAGGTAATGCTCTATGAAATTCAAGCATGTGTGTCTTTTCTTTTGTGTGACCAACAACTCTCCCTCTCCTTGGCAAGATGCTGTTGAGATGAAAGACAGGATTTACTGTGTGTCTGTTCATATGCCACAGATGAAGAATAAAGCTTTTGGTTTTCCTACCTTTTGCAGGCAGCCAGCATAGATAATGAAGCCTTTAGCATGTAGGTGCTTGGCCAAGGCAAATCCAAACCCAGAGTCACAGCCTGTTATAAGCACAGCTCTGCTGCCAATCTGCAAAACAGAACAAAACAATGCACTGGAACGGAGTAATCAAGAACAGCCATTCGTGTGCACTGAACAAATAGTGTCCTTGGCCAGGAGCAACCTGTTCTAGGCACATTTTCTATGTTCATTGCCAGCTACTGCCACCCAGTGCCTCCTGAAGAGAGAAACTAAGGCTTCATACAAAAAATCACTCCAGTGAGGTAGGATCACTGTCCTCCCAGCACTTTTGGCAACAGGCTTTCAAGGCAAAAAGACCAAGTAAACCAGCATTCTCTGGCAGTTCATATCCATTTTGGGAACTGCCTGGTTTATTTTTGCATTTCAAAACATGTTTTTGCTTCAGTAGGAACTGTTCTTGTATTTCCAGAGCAGGCAAGAATCCATTCTTCTCTATCTTGTAGCCTGCAGGGTGTGGGGAATATAGTTTGACTGAAGATGACAACAGGTAAATATTACTGACTGCTTGTTTATCTTTCTCCTTCCAACACATAAACCCTCTGGCTTTGCATGTTAAAATCTAAGTAGGATCACAAAGCTTATATAGCTGTATAGTTTGTATACAGCTTGTATAGTTGTATTTATATACAACTTGTATATAGCTTATATAGTTGAAATTAAGATTAATCAGTGATTAGTCTTCTATTTAAATTACAGGTTTGAAAAATAAGCAGTACACTTCTTTCCTTCTCCAAGTACTTTGCATCTCACAAGGCAGCAGTTAAGTTCTGTGTTAAGAACTGCATCATGTATCCATCTTAGCAACACCAGGTGTGTACACAGCAAGGTGTTGCTGTGGGTGGGATTAGGTAATGACTGTTTGCAACTCATTTCAGCTTATCTCTTAAAACTAGAAGTTTGGCTTTTCCCAAGATACAGGAGGACTGATGAGAGTTGCATCAGAAGCCTGACAACACGAGGGCCATACATGAATTCCTTTGAGACTCTGTCCCAGACAAGATGTGCGTGCTCTGGTGCTGTTATAGAGCTGAATTCTGTGCCATGTTACATGCCAGGCAAAAAGAAAAACTTTTTTTCTGTTAAGTTAGTGCCTTCAAGGAAAGAGCTATTAAAGAAGAGGGTCAGTCCCCAGAGTGAGAGTGAGGACGCTCCAATTTATTTACATCACTTTATACAACCATACTCTGGAAAGAGAGCTTTATTAAGAACTTGTCATGCAAATTCCCTCCACTCTAAGGTGGAAGATTTCATCTGCTCAGTAAGTTCCAGAAATAGAAAAAAAAAAAAACAGTCTGATTGTTTATTGCTATCCTTAGTAGCATGTACCATGTTGCGTCAATGGAATCTCTCTGCTAGGAAAGAATGTGGAGTATGTTGAAGAGGTCTAGCTCAGAGTCGTTCTGGCAAATAGGAAAGAAGAATTTAGTCACCAGGCTCCAGAGAGTTTAAAGCCTCAGCTCAGCAGAACTAGATCTTGGAAACTACAGTAATACTCACCTGATCAACCTCACTTGCATAAGAGCGGCTGCCACATGAGGATAGGAGAGGGAAGCAAAACTTTTGCATGGGTCTGTTAAAGAAAAACAGCAACACAGAACAATCAGGCACGGAATATCCTGTCCATACCTTGGTGCTACATATGAAAAATGTATGTGAAAAAGAATATTGTGTTGCCTTTATACATAATGTGGGCTGCCATCTGAGAAGACAATCTTACCTACAGTTCTCCTTAGTCTGAGCCTGTCTGTCAAGGAAACACTTGTTTCTCCCGAGACTCTGATGCTATTTCTCTCTGCTGGATCTATATATGGATATAGATGAGAATTCTAAAATAGCTCCTAGTCTGAATGCACAGAATTGCCTCCACCTGCAAAATGGGCAGTACAGTGCTTTCATTTTCAACAGCAACAGTGCTCTCTCTTAGAGTTGCACAAAGCAGGGGTGGTGGAAGTTATGCGTTTGTCTACTAAAAGCATGCTGCTGTGGCATTGTCTCTGATATCCATCCTAATGCTGGTTTGCTTGGAATTATCTCACTGTTTTTACACACAGCTCCACCCTTCTGTCATCTATGACACCTCTGCAGCGTGTGCCCATTAGATCCTCTTAGATCTCATATCCCTCTTAGCAGCTGTTAAAACAAAGATGTTTTTGCACAATATGTGCCATGCAGATCTAAAGCTACTCTGCACAGTATGTTTGACTCTGAGGAATATACAGTGTGTTCAAAAACACAGATCAGAGCAAAGTAACAATGCCTTCCAGGGGAGAAGCTGTTCAGAAAAGTCTTGTTATCAGTAACATCTTATCTTAGGCCTTGCTATAATCCAGCAAAGCTGGGTCTAGAAGAACATGCCAGGCTAACCCTGCCTGCTGACCTTGCCAGCCACCTCTCTGGGCTCTATCAGCTTTTCCACAGTTTGCTTTGAGCACTGCCATGGCCTGCTACCTTGCTTTCTTCTGGATATTTCAGCTGTTCTCTGGTTCCTCTGGTAACATCTATCCTCCAACAGAGCTTGTCTTTTGAGGCTGAATTTGCTTAATCACTCACAATTATCTCTGCTCAGAAATCACAGGCACTCCCAGGGTGATCTATGCAATGCTGAACTGCAATCTGCAGACACTGGCCTCTGAGCTGCATCTTCAGAAAACAAGGCTAGAGAACAGAGCAGAAGCTTTGAACTAGGTGGAAAGGAAGCTGAACTACAGTCACATGATATAACAGATGTCTGCTGCCGATCAGCATAGGAAATCTCTAACAGATTAGCTATCTTTGCTGTTTCAAGAGCCAACCTTGAAAGTGTGATACCATTATCAACAGCAGTAGAACAACACTGAAGGTGTAAATTCTTGCTTAGCTCTACAATCTTGCCACTCTACAATCGGTGGCATGCTCACTGCTGTGTGGGAACCCTGTTCTAAAGCCAATGAAATTACTCAGTTTGTGCTGGGTTTGGAGTAGCAGGGTTCTCTTCACAGACAGGCACAAAGATTTGCTTTTGTTTGTTTTTATTTATTTTTTTTTTTTCAGAGTTAGGCAGAAAATTATTTAATTCTAATTCCTATTTATGTTCCAAAAAAGAAAGAAGGCAGTTTTGTTATTCAACCTACCTTTCTTTCTCATTAAAATTCTCATCAACTTTCCCATTTTACATGATTATCTCTTTATTACAGTTATAGAAACGTGATGGTTCCTTGCACTGCACCAATGCCTACTTGCTGATGTTCAGGAATGCCCTGAAAGGTTGTAGGATCTCCATCCTTGGAGACTTTCAAAAGCAGCCTGGATGCGGTCCTGGGCAAGCAGCTCCTTGCTCTTCTTGAGCAAAGAGGTTGACCAAATGAGCTCTGGAGGGCCCTCCCACCCTCAGCAATTCTGATGCTCTGTAAATAAACTGCCCCACTGAAATCAAGTGATGTGTGCTTTACTCAAGATCTTGCTCTTCTTCTCTACTGAGTTACTTACCTGGACTTGTTCCCTGGATTCTTGAAAGTCAGGGTTTTTACAGGGAGGTTCAGGAGAGGACGGGACAGCTTGGTTGCCAACATGCTTCCAATCAACACACTCTATCAACAGCAAGCCTGCTCTTCCTTAGCTCTGCAAGGCAAGATAGTGCCTCACCTTTAGTTGCTCAATTATTTTGTAAGTCATGCTGACTCTGTACATTTTAAAGACAAAATAAAGTCCAAAGGCGCTCATCTTTCCCCCTTGCAGTTCCTCATGCTGAGATAAATGGCTCAACCTTCAGCCACCTCAACGTGCTTGTAAACAAGGAAAAGACTACAGATGGGCTGACAAGCAGGCAGTCACTTAAAGAAAGTGTCCATTTCTCTTTGTTCATTGTATCTTAGACTATTCTCTGAAACAAATGAAAACTGGAATTTATTATTTTGAGTACAATATATGATGTAAAACAGATGCTGGCGGCACAGGTGACATTGTGCTACAATGTTCCCGAAGCAATGCAGCTCATACAGCCACGTGGTTAAAAATGCATTTCCTTGTAATGGAGCAGCTGTGATACTGGGCTGTGCACAGGAGTCCCTGTGACCCAGGGGAGAACGCGGCTCAAGAGCAGGAATTAAGCTCAGAAAGTCCATTGTATTCATTTCTTTTTTGTTTAAAACTGATCCAGCACATGCACCCCAGCTTAGGGCATTGTCTCCCTCACCGCAGCTGAAAAATGGTGTCTAAGTGCTAGGCTTTATGTACGCCTCCGTTGAATTCTGCAATTTTAGGGCCTGCTGGAAACGGGCCTAAGCTTGAAATTGCTATGAAAGAGCTGCTGTTGGCCGCAGCTCAGCAAAGAAAGGTCTAGAAAGCGTGCATTAAAGGCGCCAACGTCGCTCCACTTTTGGCAGGGACCGGGCGGCTCCGGGAACCCCCGAAACGCTGCCGGCGTGCCGGTGCCGCCCTTCGGCCGTGCCCGAGCGGCGCGCACCGCTGCAGGGCGATGGATGCGTCCCTGGGCGGCGGCGTGGGGCGAAACGCCCGGGCGGCCCGGCGGGCGGCTGTCATTCGTGGGCCCGGCCCCGCGAGGGGGGCGAGGGAAGATGTCGGCGGGGCCGCTGCCCGCGCGGCCTGCGAGGCCCCGAGGAGGAAGAGGAAGAGCAGAAGGAAGAGGAGAAGCGGCGCGGCTCGCCCGCCCCCTCCCCGCGGGCACGCGAGGTCATCGGCAGCCCCTTACCTGCGGCCGGCGGGCGTCCCGGGCGCTGCGTTTGAATGAGGCTGGGCCGCAAACCGGCTGCTGGGGCGCGGCGGGGGGCGGGCCGGGGGAAGGGCCGGGGCGGGCGCGGGCGGCGGCGGCGGTAGACGGCGGCCATAGGCTGAGGCCGAACCGCCGCGGCCATGCGCGGCCCCGCCGTGCTGCTGGCGCTGGGCGCCGCTCTGTGCCTGGCCCCCCGCCTCCTGCGGCGGCTCCGCCGCGCCCTGCCCGTGAGTACCGCGGCGGGGGCCGGGGGGGCGGCGGGCCGGCCTCGCTCCTCTCTCCGCTGTGCGGGGCTGAGGGAGGCGTAGAGTCGGCGCTGCGAGGGGGAGCCGGGCCGCTGAGAGCCGAAGCCCGGCACGTGTTGCGGCTCCCGGGCCCTTGTCAGCCGTTCGGCTGCGCTGCGTTCGGCGAGTGCTGAACGCGCGGATCTTCTTACGGCCTTTGACATTATAGGAAGTGAACGTAACGGAGAAAAAAGCCCAGGATGGAATAACTGCGTGACCGGCCAACTTTAGTGTGCTTTCAGAAGCCCGGCCGGGTGCTCTCGGTGAGCTCGGCTCCTGGTTGTGCTGCAGGAGGGATCCGCAGCTCCTGCCCGCTCTGAGGCAGCCGGGATCCAGCTCCGTGCTCCTGCTTCACTGCCTTCCACGTGGCGCTTCCCATCGCCATCCTCTGCCTTCTGTGCCACGAGGAACCCCTGGCTGGCAGTACCTGAGTAGAGGCGGCACCGCGGCCTTCTCCAGAGAGCCAAGGAGCAGTTTGGTGTCTGTCCATCATGAAGGTGATGGATGGCACACGAGTTGGCCTCCAGCCTTTGCTTTTGGAGGCCTTCCAGGTGTGATGACTTGTGCCTGGCTTCTTGTGCTTTAACTTGCCTATACGACTTTGCCCCATGAATGTTTATTGTACTGAAGCAGTGACAGTGCCTGTGCATTGTAACCAGGCAATCTGTGCTATCCAGAACTGCAGTAAAGTTAATAATTCAGAGATTTCTCTAGCAAAGGAATTTTGTGTCTGGTGGCTGTTCTGCAGGCAGGGGTTTCTGCATGTTGGGAAAAAGACCTCTTTAGAGAACATGTTCAGTTTATCTTCCTGGGATTGAAAGCCCCGAGTTCCTAACTCTGGAAATAAGGAACAAGGAAAGTTTACAATGTAACTGCTGTTCTTACCTTCAAATTAACGTACCTGATAACAAGGAAATGATCAGAGAGGTCCTCCAAGGCAACAGAATGTGGAAAATAACATGGCACAAAGTAGAAAAGGAAAGAGACGGGGCAAGCTCTGAAACTGTGGGAAGACTAGGGCTGACAAAGTAACTTTGCTTAATTTCTATTGCAATAAATGTGTACACTTTGGATAGATTACCTACATAGATAAAAGCTTCTACTGTTTAACAAAGCATTCGTATCCCAGTAGGAAAAGCTTATGGAGTGTGTGTGCCTCTGAGTATAATAACAAATAATTAATGATCACAGGAGCCTTCTGTACTGTAAATTGTTCCTCACCTTTCTGGTCACTGTAGGTTGCTGGGAGGATTTTTCCCCATCCTTGTTTTTTTGCATACATGTTGGTGGTTGGTTTGTTGTGCTGTTGCTTGTTTGTTTGTTTTAACCAGAGAAAACTAAACAGCTGCTGTGAGTTAAACTCGATGAAGATAGGAACACAGCCCAGCCATTTATAGATGGGTCTTCCCTTATTTCATGTACCTGCCCTTACCAGCTGACTGAGGAGGCAGCTGCCTTTGGCTGAGGGGTGCACTTCTCCTTTCGCCTGTTCTGGTCTTTGGATGTGATGAGGGCTTTTTATGTCCTGCTCATTTCCTCTGCTTTCTGGAAGTTCTTTGTGTTCAGGACTCAAAAGCAAATGGTAAGGCAGTAAAAAGAAGAAAGGTGTGTTCTTTAAGGGTCAGGTTGCTGAATTAACGTGGGAAGTAACTTTGGCAGGTGTGTGATCTGGTTCATTATTGATCCTCGTTTTTCTTAAAATTGTGTCACTGTAGGTTAAGACTGAGCACTATATCTGGTTCTCACTCAGCCTATATCCTTTAGCTGTAGTTATCTTTAACAGTTCAGTAGAACTAGTCTGTAGCTGGGTGCATTTTTGTCTGACTATAGGAGTCAGTGTTCGTGTGGGTGTTGATGTGATAAATGCAGGACAGACTTTTCATCAGTTCTCACTTCAGCTTCACTTCCTGACTGTCCTTTGGATGGGACAAAGGATGGGAGAGGGCGTTGCTCGTTTGCCTGTTGCCCTCATTTAAGTATGTGCAGTAAATGATCACTGTCACCCTGCAGTTATCCCTTATTGCCATTTCACTACCACATGTCAGCAGAACAAGGGATCAGAGCACTGGGGGTTGCCTGATTTCTGTCTGAAACAGTGGTTGGGCAAAATGATGAAATTCCTACATAGGTAGTATAAAATACAAATATTCGTATTCCAGATGCCATTAATGTGGCAGTGGGGAATATTAGTAGTGAATGCCTTTGCTGAGATGGAAGTGACCTCACTTCCTTACTGCATTCTCCAGGCATTTATTGCCATGTCACGTTATCACCTGACAGATAGAGTTTCTGTTTGGAACAGTCTGGAGCACTGCATTTGGGTGGCTGCTGGTTGAGAAACATCTTAAGAGTTCACTGCTTCACAGCAGTGCCAAAGAGGGGGTAAGATGGCTTTCAAGCAAAGAAAGAGGATGAATGTGCAATGTTTTGGTATGGAACACTATTCGGGATTTTGAGTTCTGTTTTCAGAACTATCACAAGCCTGTTATGTCAAAGCAGGTGTAGCATCAAATCTTCTCTCTCAATTTAGCTGTCAGTCAAAAGATAATAACGTAGGAGGGAACTGTGGGATTTGACAAACGGTTCCTGTTAAGAGTTCAGTGCTTGAAAAGGAAGCCCTAAGCTGTAGTCACACTCCTGCTAAAATACAGCATGAAAAGTACTGCATAGAGTGGGAGTAAGAAGGGTACAGACAATAGTCACTGCAGACAAAAAAGCTGCTGTGCTGATTGGACAGATGACATACTGTCGTCGTAACTTTTTCTATGCTGTTCTTTCTCATAAGCCTATGAGCTGATAGATCACTCATTTATTTTAAAACATGTCTGTGCAGTTTTGGCCACTGATACTTGATAGCTGCAGTTTTAGCTAGGGTATCAGGATAACACAAGTTGTTACAGACCAGTGATAAAATAAACTTAGGATTTCATGGTAGTTGGGAGCTGGTTATTTTTCTACACAGGAATCTCACCTACACCTTTGTGCTGGTTGCTCCAGCAGGAGTTCCATAAAATCACTGGATCTAGTTTGCAGTGAAACAGGTCAGTGGTCATCGTGACTTGAGTCTGTGCCCACCATCGTGCACAGGGAGAGAGCTGAGCTGCAGAGAAATATGACCAGGCTTTGTTGCATTTGGGTTATTGCTGCTTTCAGAGTGGTACTTGTCCACAATGGTTCACCAGATCTGAGATGGCTATCTGAGCTCCCTCTGGTCTGGAGGGAAGTTATCCCAGCTCTTCTGGATAGGTTCTGAGGTGTTCTATAGGGGCTGCCTTTCCTTCTCTGTGGATTTCACAAGGATGTTTGACTGCTAACATGAACGGCCATCTTCCAGATAGCTTAGGTCAGGTGAGCTCAGCCCCACACAGAGTCCATGTATCAGCCATACAGCCTCTTAATTGCTAGCTGTATCTTCTAAACACTGGCTCAGGTCTGTAACTGCTCTTTTGCTGT